AGTCGAATCATGATGTTTACTTTAACAAACACAGGTACCAACAGGAATTAATATTTTTTACAGCACTAGTGTGATACTAGTTAACACAGTTGACCGTGCCATCACCAGAAGGGCAACTCATACTGGGTAAGTTCTACCCCTACACATGTCAAGAGCTATAGTAGAGAAGGGCACCACATTGCAGCTTCAAAAGTTAATGCATCGGGCATTTCAAGTCAGTTGTACAACTCGCTCCACTGACACAAAGCCACTATTCTCAGGATAAAGAGTTCTGTAACAGTACTTCTGACGATAGCTCATTCTCTGTCTCTCGGGTGACCGTAAAACCACCAGCCCTCTTTCGACCGCATCAAAAAACGGACTCTTAGAGCTGGTAACGATGCCTCTAATGTCACCTCACACTCTCTTTTGTACAGCTGTCACCCCCCCCCCCCCCCCGACAACGACCGAAGACTGATCAGCTATCCGAAGTTATATCATCACGATTTGATTTTGAGACAAGGAATCTGTCAGAGAAAACTGCGTTCGTAAACAAGAGTATAATAATAATTGCAGAGTTAGGGTAGAATTGAAATGTAAGTGTGAGGCCTGATTAAACACAAGTCAATACATGATCGAGGGGTGTTCAAAGCGTAAGATGACTTTATAGTTTTCTCAAAAAATATTTATTTATTGGTCAATATTTATATTGTCCTCTTCAAAGAAACCCCCGTTAGATATAATACACTTGTGCCAAAGCTTTTTCCAATCATGAAAGCACTTTTGATAATCATTTTGAGGTAGGGCCTTGAGTTCTTTCAGCGATGCAATTTTTATCTCTTTAATCGTTGAAAATCGATGTCCTTTCATGGGTTTCTTAAGTTTTAGGGAAAAAAAGTCACTATGAGCGAAATCCGGTGAATATGGAGGCTAAGACATGACTGTGGTGTTGGTCTTGGCCAAAAAATCTCTCACAAGCAACGACGAATGAGCAGATGCATTATCATAATGTAAAATCCACGAATTGTTTTTCCAAAATTTCGGACGTTTTTTGCGTATGGCCTCTCGTAAACGACGCATGACTTCAAGGTAGTACTCCTTATTGACCATGCGACATTGTGATAAGAATTCATGATGAACCACGGTCATCAAAGAAGACAGTGAGCAAAACCTTGACATTTATCGAACTTATTATGCTTTTTTGGGTGTTGGCTCTTCTGGGATCTTCCATTGGGACGATTGGACTTTGGTTTGGACATTATAACCATATACTCACGTTTCATTATCAGTTATAACCCTTTTGAGAAAATCAGGATCTTCATTGACTTCACTGAACATCTCCTGAGCGATGGTCATGCGACAGTTCTTTTGATCAAAATTAAGCAATTTTAGAACTAATTACCCTGACACACGTCTCATGTCCAAAACTTCCGAAAGAATATCATGGCGTGAACCAACCGATCAACGTCTTCTGCAACTTCTCTGATGGTGATTCGACGATTTTTTAACACAATTTTTTTAAATTCTTCAACCTTTTTATCTGTTGATGTTCTGGGACTTCCAGGGTGAGGTTCGTCTTCGACATCCTCCCGGTCTTCTTGGAACAGCTTATACCACTTATACACATTTTTCTTAATCAGAGTAGACTCACCGTATGCATTTGTCAACATTTCAAGAGCTTTAAAGCACTGGATTACATTTTTCACACACAATTTAATGCAGACTCTTTGCTCCATTCTTTTCGAAAGAAGAAAATCGCCAAGCACACCAAACACTTCCAACCTCTGACGCCTCTGCTAGAAAAACAACACGTACTATATAGTTAAAACTATGAATATATGATCATGGCGAGTGTACCGACACAATAACAAAAATTCAAAACTTGAATGTACATAGTCCGCGAAAATTGAAGTCACCTTACTTTTTGAACACCCCTTGTATTATCAAAGCAAATAAAGTATAATGATGAAAAATGCAAACTCATAATTGATGTCATCACATGCTCGCGGGTAAAAAATGCCACAGCAAACAAACAGTAGAATATGCTGCGTCAGATAGAGGCATCGACACAACAACAACGAATTCACATATAGTTCACAATGTCCACTCACTCCAAGAGTCAAGTAATGTAACACGTCGGCTTGTCGATGAAAATGTGTCGAAACAAGACAAAATTGGTAATCCATTGATGGGATCAAATTTTCAGATATGAAACTAAAAATTTTCAATCTACCGGCTATTACGAAAGTTACTTGGTTTCCTCCTGTTCTACGCATGCGCATTGTGATTGTTCGGCTCTCTTGCTTTTTTTAATAGACGTTCAGCTTGCTCTTCACTTGCACTTCTGCTGCTGTAATCAATTAAAAAAATTTCTTACAGGATTATCTAGCAGAGATTGTGATAAGAAAACTAATTCGTCACAAGTCTTCATCCAAATTTGATGAGTAAATTTCTTTGTATGAAAAAGTTATAACCTCAAAATCGATAACATGTATTTTCACACGGTAAAAGTGTGTTTCGAATTTTCAAAAATAAAAACTTAATTATCTGTTACGGTCTCAAGCACATATGTGTTAATTTTAAGGTCTTAATGTTAGTTTGAAAAAATTATAACAATGATCAATACCACTTTAAAAATGACAATCATCTTACTTTTGACGCATATAAATTTGCGTAAAATATCGCATGAAAATTGGTTTCAGAAGTTGAACAATACGTTCGAACAAAGCTACATGTTTTATTTTGGTCGAAATCTATATATAACGGCTTGAATATATCGCAGTACCAACAGTAGGTAATGAACATGGGATTTAAAACTTAAGCATTAAATTCTGCATTTTTTGTATGGATCGTAAATCTTGATATATGACAGCTCGAATGTGTCGCAATACCAACGGTACATTACCTAAAACAAATAGCATCTGTCGATACTAGTGCAAAAAAGTCATTTGTGGACATTTCCACTCAAGCAAAATGAAGACGAATAGACTACATGAGGATGAAAACTCTTCCTCGCACATATATCTAACTCTACTTTTGATACAACATGTGTGAAACGACATTTGCAGTATATTTACTTTCCGAAGCGTGCATAGTTCAAGTATATGAGCACTGAGTGTTGAAATATTATTTTTAAAAAATAATGCATTGCGAATTTAATTCTAAACTTTGAAACTGTAATATTGAAATATGTAAGTAAGATATTCAAAAATTTTTAAGATATTCAAAAGTAATTGGACAAGTCGTTAGCGATAATTTTGTTACAATATTAATATTTACAAATAAACTAATTAATTTTTTTTATTGCCAAACTTTTCTGACAAAATGATATCTCTGCAAAATTATTCATGTTTGAAGTATCCAGAAAATCCATAGTTTTTGAATTCTGATAGCTACCATAACTTTGCTAATTGATCTAGATGAATTGCTAATGCACCAAGTGATGTGCAAGATTTTTTTATTCAAAACTTTTATCTGAATTTCTTTCCCAAAATTATATACTTTGAGAGTAAAGCAGCTATTATTTTGAAATTGATAATAAATGACTTGATATAATTATATATGATAACTTGGGGAAAAGTATGTGTTTTATAAGGAAATGCAAGGATCATAAAATTTTCTAATCTTGTAACAAGAGATACAACAATAATCTGAAACAATTACATAATAAAATTTAATATATCATAAAGCAATTCTTACTTATAAAGAATAGATTATCATGTTGCAAAAACACTCAGAAAGTACCATCAAAGCACAGTCATGAATGATTTAATTTTGGAAAAAATTTTGATTTTCAAAATCGGTAACACAGCTTTGTTAAAGTAAGCATTTTGTAAATTTTGAGATTATAATACTTTTTAAATAAACAAAATTGAATATTGAATGTTGATGAAAACTAAAATTATATAAGAAATATCTTCAAATTTTATTGCTTCAATCCATTAACAATTCATTTATTACCACCCAGTAGAACATAATAAGTAATATTTTAATCACATTGCTATCCAAAATGAAGCACCTACAATGAAGCCATAGAACCAATTTAATTATTTAAAATAATTAATGAATAGTAATTTATTACAAATATTATTATAACTATTAATTAAATATCAATTTTACGACAACATGAAATTACCACTAAACCAATTTAACACCAAACATACCATCATTTTTCAGAGTTAGAAAGAACTTATTAACCTTTAAAGGACACGAAAGCCATTGCTCACCCCATGTTCGACACTTTATCGATGATGAATCCATGATATGAGATACCTTTTTCAGGGATTTCCTATGAGAGATAAAACAGCTCAAATCCTGGTCCTCTAAAGGATAATATCCATTAAATATTGTCCAATCAAAATCTTTTTCAATTTTTAATAGTAAAATATTAAGTTGCCATTAAATGTTGAATAAGAATATTAAAAAAGCAAAATAAAAAATGTACACAGCTTTATTTATGAAATTTAAAATGATATCTTGAAAATTAAAATCAATACTGACTCAATATACTTTCAACTAAAACATTTAGATTAATCTAGTTTTACAAACTAATGATTATTAAAATATTTATAATTTTACTACTTCAATTCTAAAGTTTTTGATAGTCCTATCTTAAGATAATAGTTGTGGTCAGATACTTTGTTTATGAAAACCATTAATATGCATAACAAAATGTATTTGTTTTAATGTAATTAATGGTTGAAAACGCAACATTTTAGTGAACATTATTAATCTATTTTTATAAATAATTTCAAATAATAACTCATGATATCAATGTTATCGTTATAAAAACTTAATAAAGTTAATACAATTAAGTTAGCTTATACCGTAATTACTATTATTGATTTTCATTTAAGATGTCAATTTATAAATAACATTCAACTAAGCAGAATAAATTTTTGAAAAAACACATAAACATTATGCTACTTTAACTTAGAAATTAAAATAATTTTCAGAAAGTATCATTTTGATTAATAAGTTATGAATTAATTAAATATAATTATATCTGAAATCATTCATACCAGCTTGATTTTCAGAAAATAGTTGTGAAAAAACATTTTATACAAAATGTACATTTCTTGGTAATTCATTAGCACTTTCACTATTAGTCTGATTGTCAAAAAAAGTTATCACATCACTGATGACACATTTTCATAAAAAACATTATCTAAAATATAAAAAACATATTCCAAATCAACATATGCGAAATTCAATAAAGAATAAATACTATATAAATTTTTTCAGCATCTGACATTCTTGAAAATTACAACAGGTTACACATAGCATCCATCAAGACAACCCTCAAACGTCCAACGTTTACAATTAATCGATAAAATACAAATTTAAAATGTATCATAAAGTAATACTACATTTTAATTACAGCTGTTAATGTGACGATCGAATGAATAAATTATAATAATAATACAGATGTACTTGAATTCTACGGAAACTAAATTTTTATTAATATATGTTCTGTGCGGTTGTATCACGTATGCTAGCCAACAGGAATCTATCGAAACAACATTTGCAGTCATTAAACATTATCGCCACTACAAATTACCGAAATACAAATGTAAAATATACGCATACAGCGATACTCTCACGACGACGTCAATCGCCAAACTAGGTGTCAAGAAAAGTCACGAAAACGGCGTCCCCCCGCTACATGTCACATAGATGCTCTATCCTATTATTTAGACTTTATGCTTTGTGATCATGACATTACAAAAGGTTTTAAAAGTTAGTTTACAGAATTAGTTGATTTTTAATAATGCAAAACCTAAATAAATAATAGATTAGTTCGTTAAATACTAAATAACACGGATTACAAACGGTCGTTTATTTGTAGACAGTTAATTAATTTTATAAACATAAAAAAACACAGGCCAACGCCTTTTCAGAACTAGGAACTGGATGTAATGCAACCGAAGAAATTCGGTGTGCTGAAGTCGAACCCGGGCACAGAATTATGTTTCTTCAGACCATCACCCACCTCACCCACCTCAGCCAGCAAATAACGGCTGGACTGACAAAAAAGATATTATTCGATGTATCATTAATAAAACCCTCTAAATATACTTCTGGTTTTAATTGCACTTTTCTAATTATTTAAGAAAAAATTAAAAATGAATGGGCGTTTTTCCTTTTCTTTGCAAGTGTGAAAACTTCGAAAAGAGTCAATATTTTTTAAAAGTAATACAATAGAAGAACTAAACCTCCAATGATCTTCATTACATCCTCATTATTTTTCCGAAATTATCAATATAAATTGAAAATAACGAATATCTAATTTTCCGGTTCCTTGTTCAGTTACGCTGGTTTCAGTTTCAGTTTACTAGATGGCGGTGGATCTCTTAGCTGAGACTCCGATATGCCAAAACATATGCGTTGACCAAGGAGAATTCGTAGTTTGAAATTCAAGTAGTAAGAGTAGTTTATAGTTAAGGTTGATAAATTTAATTCTATTGGTTAGATAGATTTGTGAGCAGCGTAGGATTGCATAAAGAAAAGAGTGAGGATTGGAAGGAGATATTTGTTTAGTAATTTGGGGTTTATTTTAAATTGAGAGTTTGCATTTGTTGAGAAATTCGGTTAAGAAGTGACATGGGGGATGAGTAGGGAATTTTAGTATATTGATGGTTGTAGTTATTGAGGAAGTTTTAGTTTTTTGTGAATATTTGTTTAGTTTTTTTATTAGTGTTTCTCTCTGAGGTAAATACATTGGGCAAGACTAAACAATATGGTAAATTTCTTGTATTCAAGATCCACATTGACATGAGGGGGAATTTATAAAGTTCTTTCTGTATAGACTAGCTGCTAGAGAATAGAGGTTGTTTCTGAGTCTGTTAATTGAGGTGATGTTTTCTATGAAGGTAAGTTTTGTGGAACCATGGTTTAAATTGTGCGGATGAGTAATTATGAAAGTAGTGAGATCCTTTGCAGGAGCTTTGATCTATTATAATGCATTGAAAAGATGCTTTGTGAGAGTATTGAATATTTTCAAGAAAATTAGTCTGTGGGAGCAGAATTAATGTGTTAACGCCTTTTATGATAGCTGATTTAACTAGTTGATCTACTGTTTCGTTATGTGTGATTTGAGAGGGGGAGGGAATTCATAGTGATTGAGTGTTCCATTGTAGGACTTTTATATGATTGAGATCCATTATTATTGTTATTAAGAGTGATTTTGTTGTTTTGTAAATGTGATTATAGTGTTTGAGGGGGTAAGATTGAGAAAGTTTTATGGTGGGAGTAGGGGATAGTTAGGAGGAGATGTCTGTGTTAGATTTGTAAATTGCATAACTTTGGGATCTATCAAGAGATTGGTAAGAATGTTGGCACATTCTTCGTGTGAGATTAGTATATTGTTAAATAAGTATCCGTTATCATGTTGAATGATATGTAATTGACCAACGTTGTGTTCGTCTGGTTCATTTTGTTGTGAGAAGTCATGGGTGATACCTGTTATTTTAAGTTTTGAATTGTAATTACCACTAGGATTTATTAGTGTTTCTAGATGATCTTTGGGGTAAGGAATGCAAGGTTTCGTTATGTGGGTTGAGATAGGAGTGCTTTGTGGGTTTTTTAAGGTTATTTGAGAGTATGAGGGTGTGTATTTATTTATATTGTGAGAAGATGAAGGTGAGGGGGAGTGAAGAGGGTGATTTGAGAGAGTTTATTGGGAGTTATAATGATTTTTTTGAGATATTTCTTCGTAAGTGAGAGAGTTATGTAAATCAGCGTAATTAGAAAAAAGAGAGTTAGATTTTTCTATTTCTTTGTATTCTGTTTTAATTTCTTGTATATATTTGTTTCTTCTTATGGAGATAGAAAGTATTTTTTGTTCAAAAGATCTGGTGGGACATTTTTTATCGGTGGAAAGATGATTTTGATGACAGTTAAGGCAGAAGGGGTTATTTTTTTGTGATTATTTTGGCAGGTATCAGAGGGATGATTGTTTCCGCAATATAGGCATCTAGGATTATTTGATTTGCAGATAGCTTTAGTGTGGCCATAACGATAGCAGTTCATGCAGAGCCTTATATTAGGAATATATGTTTCAATGTTAAGTTTAACCCTAAATAAATAGATGAAGTGTGGAAGTATACGTTCTTTGAAGGCGGTTTGGACGGTTTCGGTAGGAAGGTATGTGGGTTGATTTGGATTTTTTTCATCTAATGTTTTTCTATTGAATCTACGTATTTTTATGGGGTGAGTGCCTCTAAAGGTATAGAGATATCTATGTTTTGAAAAATCTCTTCTTCGGTTAAATTTGTGGGGATACCTTTGAGTATGTCGTTTTTATAAACGAAGGAGTGGGGGACTATTGCTTCCAAATTATTTTTTTTTAAGATTTCAATATCATTTCTTAGGAGTTTGTTTGCAATTTTCCTGTGGTGGGTAATAATGATAAATCTATTTTTGTCTGAAGATTTAATTTCATCGAAGGCATTGTCTGGCAAAAAGGGGGATGAGTTGACTGGCTAATTGGACAGATTTAATGGTAGTGTCGTTATGTTGTGGTAATTGGAGGATGATTTTATATGGGGGAGAAATATCGCTAGTGTATTCAGACATTTTCGGTAGTTCTATTCTATGAGATAAATTGAGTTGGGAGGGAGGGTTATTGGGTGAGTTGTCTATGTGTTAGAGTTTGTGTCTGCTGTTGTATCTGGAAGTCGGTAGGTAGGTGTGTGGGGTCTTTTTTTGTGTTTTTGTTCTTCTGTTGTGATTGAGGGGGAGGACGGTTGGATGAGTAACATTTCGGTGTTATCAATAATTGGTTGAGTATATGAATTTGGAGGGGAGTGTAAATTTATGTCAAGGGGATCCATATCATTAGGGTCGTCCATGTTGGAACTGCGTAAGAGCAGGTCCCGGAGGACGAATCCTTTGAGCAACTCAGATTACGAAGGTCGTTTGAAAAGTCCGTGCAAAAATAAAAACTGCTTGATTTTTTTTAATAAATCTTTTTTATTTTTCAACATAGTCTCCTTTAAGGCTTATAAACTTCATACAACGCTGCTCTAGTTTGTTAATCCCTTCCAAATAATAGAATTTGTCCAAGTCTGTAAAATAGGCATTTGTTTCTGCAATCACCTCCTCGTTTGAATAAAATCTTTTCCCCGCCAGCCATTTTTTCATATTAGGGAACAAATAGTAGTCCGACGGAGCCAAGTCTGGAGAATAGGGGGGATGCGAAACGAGTTGGAACCCTATCTCCATCAGTTTTGCGGCCACAACTGCTGAGGCGTGATTTGGCGCATTGTCGTGGTGAAAGAGGATTTTTTTGTGGGCCAACCGTGGACGTTTCTCTAGCAACTCGATTTTCAAACGATCCAATAATGATGAATAATATTCGACTGTAATGGTTTTACCCTTTTCCAGATAGTCGATGAAGATTATTCCTTGCGAATCCCAAAAGACAGTCGCCATAACCTTCCCGGCCGAAGGAATTGTCTTCGCCTTTTTCGGAGCAGATTCCCCCTTGGTAACCCATTGTTTAGACTATTCTTTGGTCTCAGGAGTGTAGTGATGTATCCATGTTTCATCTACAGTGATGAAACGACGCTTAAAGTCTTGCGGATTTTGCTGGAACAGCTGCAAACCATTCTTGCAACACTTCACACGATCTCGTTTTTGGTCAATCGTGAGCAATCGCGGCAGCCATCTAGCGGATAGCTTTTTCATGTCCAAATTTTGGTGCAAAATATTATGTACCCGTTCGCTCGAGGTGCCTACAGTACTAGCAATCTCACGCACTTTCACTCTTCTGTCAGCCATCACCATATCATGGATTTTATCAATGATTTCTGAAGTGGTAACCTCAACAGGGCGTCCAGAACGTTCAGCGTCTTTTGTACTCATATGGCCACTCCCAAAATTTTGAAACCACTTATAAACCATTCTAATCGAAGGTGCACAATCACCATAATGTTTATCAAGCTTCTGTTTAATCTCCTGAGGCGTTTTGCCTTTGAAAACGTAATGTTTAATCAATACGCGAAATTATTTTTCGTCCATTTTTTTACAACCACTGGATTTCTTTGATTGAAACGAATGTAAAACGCAAAGTAATTGGCCGATCTGGCCGAAACTTGGTGTGTGCTCTTCCAAGATATGCCACTAACTAAAAATAACCTTGATACACACTAGTAGCGCGATCTCTCTGACTTTGCATAGGTTAGACCCCCGTATAGGTTAGCTCAGAGATATTTAAATTATAATTTATTTAGAAAGTATAGAATTGTTTTTGAGATGTTAGTTGAGAAGAAAATGTCTGTTAGTAGAACACTGTCACTTTTATCTTACCAATAGATTTTTGTTTAAATCAATGTAGTGAAATGAAATGAGAAGATGTGAGGACTCGTGGCCAACGTACACGTTTTTTTTCGAATTCAGTTACGCTTGGTCGCCGCGCACGCGCGACCGATCAGCTGGACTGTTTCAAATTTGCAATTAATCATCTACTTATTAATCACTGTTTGTACGATGTCCTATCAAACATACGAGGTGTGTTCAAAAAGTAAGGTGACTTTGTATTTTTAAGAAAAAATATTTATTTATTTATCAATATTTATGTTGTCCCCTTCAAAGTAATCCCC